TTGTCTGATGTATATTGGCAAATATTTTCTCCCACTCTGTGGGTGTTCTCTTCAGTTTAGAGACCATTTCTTTTGATGAACAGAAGCTTTTTAGTTTTATGAGGTCCCATTTATCTATGCTATCTCTTAGTTGCTGTGCTGCTGGGGTTTCATTGAGAAAGTTCTTACCTATACCTACTAACTCCAGAGTATTTCCTACTCTTTCTTGTATCAACTTAAGAGTTTGGGGTCTGATATTAAGATCCTTGATCCATTTTGAGTTAATCTTGGTATAGGGTGATATACATGGATCTAGTTTCAGTTTTTTGCAGACTGCTAACCAGTTTTCCCAGCAGTTTTTGTTGAAGAGGCTGCTATTTCTCCATCGTATATTTTTAGCTCCTTTGTCAAAGACAAGTTGCTTATAGTTGTGTGGCTTCATATCTGGGTCCTCTATTCTGTTCCACTGGTCTTCATGTCTGTTTTTGTGCCAGTACCATGCTGTTTTTATTGTTATTGCTTTGTAATATAGTTTGAAGTCAGGTATTGTGATACCTCCTGCATTGTTCTTTTGACTGAGTATTGCCTTGGCTATTCGTGGCCTCTTGTGTTTCCATATAAATTTAACAGTAGATTTTTCAATCTCTTTAATGAATGTCATTGGAATTTTGATGGGAATTGCATTAAACATGTAGATTACTTTTGGGAGTATCGACATTTTTACTATGTTGATTCTACCAATCCATGAGCATGGGAGATCTCTCCACTTTCTATAGTCTTCCTCAATCTCTTTCTTCAGAAGTGTATAGTTTTCCTTGTAGAGGTCTTTCACATCTTTTGTTAGGTTTACACCTAGGTATTTGATTTTTTTTGAGGCTATTGTAAATGGAATTGTTTTCATACATTCTTTTTCCGTTTGCTCATTGTTAGTGTATAGAAATGCTAATGATTTTTCTATGTTGATTTTATATCCTGCTACCTTGCTATAGCTATTGATGATGTCTAGAAGCTTCTGAGTAGAGTTTTTTGGGTCTTTAAGGTATAGGATCATGTCGTCTGCAAATAGGGATATTTTGACAGTTTCTTTACCTATTTGTATTCCTTTTATTCCTTCTTCTTGCCTAATTGCTCTGGCTAGGAATTCCAGTACTATGTTGAATAGGAGTGGAGATAGTGGGCATCCTTGTCTGGTTCCTGATTTTAGAGGGAATGGTTTTAATTTTTCTCCATTAAGTATAATGCTGGCTGTAGGTTTGTCATATATAGCTTTTATAATGTTGAGGAACTTTCCTTCTATTCCTAGTTTTCTTAGAGCTTTTATCATGAAATGATGTTGGATCTTATCAAAGGCTTTTTCTGCATCTATTGAGATGATCAAGTGGTTTTTGTCTTTGCTTCTGTTAATGTGGTTTATTACGTTTATTGATTTTCGTATGTTGAACCACCCCTGCATCCCTGGGATGAAGCCTACTTGGTCGTGGTGAATAATCTTTTTGATGTGTTGCTGAATTCGGTTTGCCATTATTTTGTTGAGGATTTTTGCATCAATGTTCATTAAGGAGATTGGCCTATAGTTCTCCTTTTTGGAGGTGTCTTTGCCTGGTTTTGGGATAAGTGTAATACTGGCTTCATAAAATGTGTTTGGCAGTTTTCCTTCCCTTTCTATTTCATGGAACAGTTTAAGGAGGGTTGGTATCAGTTCTTCTTTAAAGGTCTGATAGAATTCAGCAGAGAATCCATCAGGTCCTGGACTTTTCTTTTTGGGGAGACTCTTGATTGCTGCTTCAATTTCATTTTGTGTTATAGGTCTATTCAGGTGATTAATTTCCTCTTGGTTCAGTTTTGGATGATCATATGTATCTAGAAATCTGTCCATTTCTTTTAGATTTTCAAATTTATTTGAATATAGGTTCTCAAAGTAGTCTCTGATGATTTCCTGGACTTCCATGGTGTTTGTTGTTATCTCCCCTTTTGCATTCCTGATTCTACTAATTTGGGTTTTTTCTCTCCTCATTTTAGTCAGGTTTGCCAGGGGTCTATCGATCTTGTTTATTTTTTCAAAGAACCAACTTTTTGTTTCATTAATTCTTTGTATGGTTTTTTTGGTTTCTATTTCGTTGATTTCAGCTCTTATTTTTATTATTTCTCTCCTTCTATTTGTTTTGGGATTTGCTTGTTCTTGTTTTTCTAGGAGTTTGAGATGTATCATTAGGTCATTGATTTGGGATCTTTCAATCTTTTTAATATATGCACTCATGGCTATAAACTTTCCTCTCAGGACTGCCTTTGCTGTGTCCCATAGGTTCTGGTAGGTTGTGTTTTCATTTTCATTGACTTCCAGGAACTTTTTAATTTCTTCTTTTATTTCATCGATGATCCATTGTTCATTAAGTAATGAGTTATTTAGTTTCCAGCTGTTTGCAGAAATTTGGAACAGTATGTTAGCCATATTGTTATTGTTAGAGAAATTCAAACAAAATTATTCCTTCTTATGCATTTCTACTTATTTAAAATTTTAAAGTTTAACCTAAAATTATACTGTTACTATCCCCTCCCCCTCCTCCTCTCTTCTTCTTCTGGAAGAACTAGGGCTTGAACTCAGGGCTTCATGCTTGCTATGTGAGTGATCTACTGCTTGAACCACTCTGCCAGCTCACTATTCCTTACTTAACCCATCAAAATATTGAAAAATGCTATTTACTCCAGGTTTTTTAAAGCTACTTAATTTTTCAAATACACAACACTAATTCAAACACTGTTGGAAATACATGGGCAGATATTAATTTTCCCTGTCAGTGACCTAGCAATACCCCTCACATAACACTACCCGACTTGGAACTGCTGCCTCCTCGGCTTGTCTGCAGACCTGAAGCTTCCTTCCTGGCCCATCCCTTTGTTCCCATCCCAAGCCAGTGACAATGCTAGGGACGGATGACATGCCAGAGGCAACAGGAAAGGTGGGGAATATCTTGCCAGTTCACTCCTTTACCCCTGCCTCACTTCACAGGGTTTCAGGGGCAGTGTTCTCACTCATCTCATCTTAAGTTTCATTCTGCTCTTGAGCACTACTCAGGTTTCTGCACAAATGCTTCTGTGCTGTTTTCCCATGAAACACTGACAGACCAATCCAGCTGCTTTCTGAGACACAGCAGCCACTGGCAGGCAGAGCAGGGAGAAGTCATTCTCGGATTGCACCACCAGGGTGCAGTAGGGAGTAGAGTTACTTGTGTGATCTTGAAAGATGGTTCCCTGAATTTGGTTCTGAACCACTGCTTACCTTTCAGGCCCATTGTGATTCAAATAAGCTTGGGGGAATGGGGGTGGGGTGGGGCAAAGCAAGAACGTAAACACCCATTTACAGTAGCATTTACAAGAGTAAATATTACTATTTCTCAATTCAAAATGAAAATGAACTTTTGGAATGTATTTTTTATTTGGGAACTGGAGGAAATATACAGAAAAATATGCCACTTAAGCAACCCAAGGACCCATTCGAACATTTTCTAAAATCTCTTCTCTATCTAGCCAGGTGCCAGTGGTTCATGCCTATAATCCTAGATGCTCAGGAGGCAGCGATTGGGAGGATCATAGTTTGAGGCCAGCTAAGGCAAATAGTTCGGAGGACCCTGTCTCGAAAATTCCCAACACAAAACGGGCTGGCAGAATAGCTCAAGTGGTAGAAAGCCTACCTAGCAAGCAAGAGCCCCTGAGTTTAAACCCCAGTATCACAAAAACAAAACAAAACAAAAAACAACCTTCTAGCCACCTCCAAAGCAAGCAGTAGACTGGATTTATAGTTTTTTCTCATTTTTGTGTAAGTAGCTGTACACAGTAGCATAACAGTCCTGTCTACAGAAGTTGGAAAACTTGTATTCCTTTAAGAAACATATTCTTAGAAATATCTATCCCTCATCTTGAAAAACAGCCTCCTGTAATTTAGACTTTTTTTTTTGAATAAAACTTCAAAGTGGCAAGAGACTTTTTATTTGTTCTGCATGAAACCTTCTTACTGGAAGCAAATTCTCCTAAATTTATATCAAAGAGAATTTCTTTAAGCTGGGTTGTAGCTCAGTGGTACAGTGCTTGCCCAGCATGTGCAAGGCCCTGGGTTCTATCCCAGCACCAAAAAAGAAAAGACAAAAAAAAAAAAAAAGTTTAAAGTCTAATTTTAAAAAGATTCACTTTGATTGTCATCATTGCCCAAAAACAGAGAGACACAGAGAGATTTATATAAAATAGTAATTCCTGTTTCCATTTGTTCATGCAAATCTCAAATAATAAACCTGTTTTGGGCAAGTTGCAACTGACTTCCAGTTTAACATAGTTTATTATATAAAGCTGTGTAGTTAAATGTTTATACTTCAATTTCTTATTATTGTGAACATCACTTATAGACCTATTTGAAATGAAGTCGGCCCTGCCACACTGTCATCACACCATTCTACCCTGCAATACTCTCCGCCCTCCTCTGTTTCTGATTGACATTTCTCTTTCTGCAGTTTCTAAGGAAACACAGGTCCAGCTTCTGTTTTAATCCTGCACAAAGTTTTTAAAAACTAAATTCCAGAGTGTTCTGAATTCTTCACAGATGTTCCAGAAGAAAATAATGACTACAATTAACATTCCAAATTGTATTCTAAAATGAGCCCTTTCTGTTCACAAACTATCAACTAGAAAATTTTAATAAGTCCTACCAATCAAGAAAACTGATGCCCAAGATTCCAAAGTTTTTCAGTGGAAACACTGAAGTTTATAACCTACTTTTTTGTGGAAATGTAATTCTGATATGAAGTTAATCTTGATAGGAAGTTAATAATACCAAAATTAAACGACACTAAGATAAATGAAGCATTGTGTGAACCTGGCAGACAGTAACATTCTCAACTCAGACATGGTAAACTTTTAAAACCTCAATGTTGTACAGTTGGCTCTTGAAAATCACATTGTTTCAAAATCCAAAAATATAGATTTATTTTTATTTAGAAAGTCTTTCATATTCACTAAATGCAGTTAAAAGTTCAAAATGACATGGCTCTGAGAAGTGATGTCAAACATGGGACTTCTTAAGAGTGACAGATTTAAATTGTTAAGTTTACCCTTTTAAGAAATTTACTTATCAAATTATTACAACAGAAACAGAAATGTAACATATATTATTCTTTAATTAGACTTTTGTTTTACAATATATTCTTGTCAGTGGGACACGTCAAAATGTTTAAGCCTGATAGAATAACCATTTTTTAAAAAACAAAACCAAAAAACGTACCATTGGGGGGAAAAAAAGCTTCAGAAAATTTCCTGTCCTTTATATGGTTTGGAGATGGGAAATAATGCCATAAAAAATCCCCTACTCCGTTCTTATGGGGCTCTCTTTCCAAATATTTTCACTTGGGTCTATTAAACAGAACTTTTAAAACAATTTTAGATCTCAAATTACTATATTGTTCCTTTTCTGAACTGTCCCTCAGATGAATGGCTTCTGGGTAAATTGAAGTCAGGCTGGCGCACACTGCAGGGCCCTGTGTCGTGGAGGATGGTATCTAGCGCTCAGAGGTGAGCTAAACTGCTTTTCGAGTTACGTGGGAATCAGAACAATGCCTACAACACTGTAAGTGGGTCAAATAACCCTAGATTTGACATTGTGGAAGTTCTTCATTGTGAGGAAACAGCCTCAGAGGGGAAAAGGAGATGGTTCTTCAGCCAAACTCATCCTGCCTCTGCCCAGTGGGATGGCCTACATGAAATGGAGGAGGGGAACTAAGTACCTAGGCTGATCCTGGAGGTAAATTAGGGGATTAAGGAGCTAATGTTCAAGTACCTCCTGAATACTGCAGCAATTTCTGGTGGCCCCATGAGTTTGGGCTGGGGCTTTGGAAGAGAAGGAGAAACTAGTATTAACTATTCTCTTCATTCAACCTAAAGAAGGTAGAGCCTCTGGAGGACTTCTTTTCATGATATAAACCCAAATGTGTGGGGAAAAAAAATACAGATTTAGGTGGAAGAACTCCAAAGAAACAGAGTATGTCACTGGCGATGACAGGCCTTGAATTCCCCAGTGACAGCCGTGTCGGGTTAGCCCCCATGCTCCCAGCCCCTGCTCTCCATCCTAGCCTCTCAGTCTGAGCATAGATAATACTGCATCTTTTTTAAAGACCAAGACATCCAGCATCTACCATCACAAGCCACTTACTCTTGTCCTAGTCATTGTACATACTCTTAACCCTTCTCTTCGAAATACTCTGAAACAATATCCACCATTATTGTTTCAAATATAAAACAAACACATACATTAAAACTCGGATTATGTCTTTTTAAAAGTGCTTAAAGCCATACAATGCAATTTTTTCACTTCATTTTCAACCAATAAAATCAAACTCATTTAGATTTATGAATAATACTGAAAAAATCTGATTCTCTTACATTTTAAATAACGTGCCTTCATTCCTAACTTTCGTTTACATTAACTGACTCATTTCATTCAATGCCGTAGCAAGTTGCGCTCTTGTTCAGAAAAAATAGAAGGTACAAATATATAGAATTTTTAGGATAAAAAATTTTTCTGAATATAAAAATGCTTTCTATGTTTCAAAATAACACTTTTAGATTCTCCTCACAGTAAATAGACCATTAAGAATAGACCATTAAGTACCCAAGGTTTTTTTAAGTAACAAAAGATAATAATATGGTTTTAAATTACAAAGTTATATAAGAACCATTTAATCCATGGATCATCCTCACAGAAAGTACAGTTTCTACCTAAGAAAACCCCTAAATATTTTAGTCATAAAATAAAACTCCGTTATCAAAAACTAGCTTAAGACAGAAGCCTATGCGCTTAAACAATGGCTAGAGTTGCCCAGCATAGCTTCAGTAAAATAGAGAATTGCCTAGGAAGTACAATCTCCAAAATGTGTGCAAATCAGACAGATGGGGGCAGGGCAACGCCCTCAAAGCCAAGTCCTCCAGCACCTTCCCCAGGTCCCCTGACCCCTCCCCAGCCTCGCGCTTTGTGTGTTTCCTTCAGTGCGCCGCTGTTGACACTGCCATTCCTGTCCGGGTGGGTCGCAGTGGATCACATGTTGAACAGGAAGCGTGAGGCAGGCAAGCACTTCTGTCAGCTGTCAGCGCCTCATGAGTAAGAAGGTGGAAGCTCAGATGAGCCTGGAGCTCTTCAGGAACTGAATGAGAACTCTGTACACAAACGTGTACTGGCAGAGGGTCTGCACCATCATCATCCTCTGTTGCCTCAGCATGTCCAGCGCTCTCGGGATGTCCAGCACCTGGGAGGAGAGCAATAATGATGAGGGGCAAATGCTCCCAGGGGAGACAACAGCTGGAGGGAGCTGCTGCCCTAACATTTCTGTCGGGAGATGGCTGTCCCTGCCTGCCTCCACATCTTCTATGATAACCCATGGTTGCTTACTTCTGACTCATTCTAACTGCAAGTAGAACGTCTGTGCAGATTACTTCTTCAATGTTCCCTGGGTATAGCTTACTGACTAGTTAAATGTGAGTCATATCTCACCAGATACCAAGATCCAACAAAAACACAGTGGGCTAAGTGCCATCAGTATCCAGCTTAGCATCTCCCACAGGGAGCACTCGCCAGCTCTGATCCTTCTGCAAATACTGATATGTAGGAAAAATGGAGTTCTGAGTTCAAATGTGAAAAAACACCAGGTAAAACAAAATTGAACAGCTTCATTCATTGCATGATGTCTCAGTCTTTAATAAGCTAATAGGAACTGAGAATCTGCAAGATATCTGCCTTTTGCAGGCAACACCTAATAACATCTGGCCACTGTAGTCCCTGGAAATGTGTTTTAAAAAAAAAAGAGTTATTCAACCACTAGGCCCCTCTCCTTCCCAGTCTTATTCCCAGCCTATCACTGCTCACACCAAAAAGGGCAGGCTTAGCACAAAAGTCATCACCTCATTGTGCTCCAGACAGGCAATCATGACCTCTGACAAAATGACAACACCAGTTCTTCCCACTCCAGCACTGCAGTGCACCAGCAGCGGAGGGTTGGGGCTCTTTGGTTCACTTGTACTATTTGTATGGCGTCGAACAGACTGGATCTCTTCAAGGTATGCTGTGAAAAATCAATGAAATAGAAAATACTCGGGGATGACAGCATATCAAATTAACAACCCCATTTTCATGTTCGCTCCGCTGGGTCAGAAGACTGCAGACAGACAGTGCTGGACACCAGTGAACCAGTCCCAACCCCTGCCCGTGACTGGACAAGCCACTGCCTCTGCCAGAACAAAAGGGAGGAGACGCACTCAGAGAAGCAGCCAGGCCACTCTACACATACCAAACTAGCCCTTAAAAACGTCCTCATATAAGCTCTCACCAAACATTTCTATTCTTTATTTTAAAACAAGGCCAAACTTTGTATGAAACAACATAAACAAAATATTTTAGAAGTCTGAGTCTTCCCCTCTGGCCAGAAGAAGCTGTCTTGGGAACAAAGACACTTACATAAAAATCCCTTGAGATCTTCAGGACAGCCATGCTCAGGCCAGTCTGTGTACTGGAGATGCCACACTGTCCTCTCCTGCCCCGTGAGAAGGTGCTTCATCTTCAAGCCTGTGGTGGCATAGCAGCCAGAGTCTGTGCGGAAGCGGGTTGTGATCTTAAACCTTCCATAGGTGACCGTGTTGTGCCTCGAACCAAGTCGTGGCCAATACCTAAAGCTCTTCTCCCTTCCGCCCTCCTGTTAAAGACAGGAACGGTTCAACAACAGCTCGAGCCCCGGCCACACACACCTTCATGCAGACGGCGTGCCTGAAAGTCAGAGCTACAACCCCACCCTGCCTTTCACTGTAAAGGCCGGGATTCTACATGAATCACATTAACAATTCTTTGGAGGCCGAGAAAATCAATTAAGAGGAGGAGCACTTACCTCTTCTGCTGTCACCATTGCTATAATCGCAATTCCCTGCTCCCACACCATCTGCCAAAAATCCTGACAGGTATTCTGTAATGGCCCCTGTGTGGCAATATAATCCCATTCAATTCCACTGACGGAGACCTGAAATTAGAAAAGGTTAAAAATCACTGTGTGCATAGAATCTAAGTATATAGTAATGTATGTTCATCGTAGTACTAAAAAAGTGAACTGGATTATTCAGCATTATAAAGACAGGTTTATATTGTATCCTTTTCCTTATCAGTACAATTTCCATTATTGGTATCTTTATCAACACATGTACTGTGAATTCACATTAACATCTATGTGACCTGGGGCAACTTTGAAATCTCAGCTTTCATTTGCAAAATGAAAATACTGCCTACCCTCATGGGGTTATCAGGAAGACCCCAGGCACCGCACGTAGCAGTACTCAGTAAGCATTATCGCTATGATGGTTCCTCTTATAAAAACAGTATCAACATCCATAGTTCCCCAAATTTCAAACACAATGACCCCTAATGAAGTATTAAATATATTAGAAAAAGAATTAGCTATTAAGCAAAAGTCTAAGTCAAATGTCAGATTTCTGTGGGAAAGAATAAGAACAGCACCTGACTATGATGCTTACTCATTCATTACAATAAAATAAAGAAGCAGGTCTAGCCAGCATGAACAGAGGGTATAATATGGAGAAGAGAGAACATTTGGCTGTACTCAGCCACCTGTTATGAATGACCACTTTTTCCATTTTAGTGGGTATAACACCACTTCAGTTAAATGGCATACTGTTCCCAGGAAAAAAAGTGCTCCTCTGAAAATCAAAGTGATTAAAAAAAAAAGAGAGAGAAGGAGGGTGCCAGACGTTCACGCCTGTAAACCTAGCTTCCCAGGAGGCAGAGTTCAGGATGATCGCAGTCCAAAGGGCAGATGATTCTTAAGACCCTATCTTGAAAATACCCAACACAAAAACAGGGGCTGGCAGAGTGGCTCCAGTGGTAGAGCACCTGCCTAGCAAGCGTTAGGCCTTGAGTTCAAACTCCAGTACTGATAATAAAAAAAGTTATATAAGAAAAACAAGTCATGTTTAAAAACAATTACAGCAAGAATGCAAAGAGAACAGATGACACCTTCATAAGTAAAAGCTTTTGTGAACTCCATTAAATGCCCAGACATGAGCTGGGGATGTAGCTCAGAGATAGAGCACTTGCTTACATGCACAAGACCCTAAGTTTGATCCCCAGCAACACCAAAAAAAAAAAAAAAAAAAAGCAACCCGTAACACATTTATGGCACAAAAACACATGCAGGTCTGTGATGAGAAAAAAAACTAGCAATTCAGCAGCTCCTGTAAGAATTATAAGCTTGAAGGAGGCTTTTAGATTTAGAAGGACAAAGTTCTAAAGCCAGACAAGCAAAGTGCTCCCTGAGTCCTGGTAACAATGTTGGGACAGAGTGGATCCCCACATGGAGAGGGTGGAAGTGACTTTGGCTCTGTCTGATAAATACTTTTTCTCTAGCACTGGTGTATGGACCCTCCAGCTTGTAACATAGTTGCCACCATGGTTCAAAACTGGGTGGTTTTTAGAATACAGTTCTTACCATTGTAATAACCCCAAACTGCATGTGCTTTATCCTCTAGAGGTTTCTCTCACCTTAATATGCGAAGCATTGATGTAGCCAGTATTGTTCTCCTTGGTTGGGACCAACTCCACTCTTGCATCGTCATAGGGAAGGACATCTTGGAATCGATTTCTTTCTGCATTTTCAGGGAGTCGGGCGGTCGAGCACTCCCCATCAACTAGCCGCTTTTTGAGAATTCTTTCATATTCTGTGAATACCATTCCCTGTTCTAACCGCTGTTCCAAGATTTTACACTGCAAAAATAGAGAAAATTAATATAGTTAAATGCCACCTCTGCATTTTAAACTACACTTTTGAAATGCTGCTTTCTGCTTCAAGTCTAGCATCAGCAAATATTTAAAATTCTGTATGAAACTAAACTTAAAACTTAACAAGCCATAACAATAAGAGTTAAAAAAAAAAAAAAAGCCAAAATAAGACATAATCTTGCTAAGACATATAAGGCAAAAATTTCTTTTAAAGCTGAAAACTGGCCCAAAGCAATTTGTTGGATTTGTTTTCTCTAAATGTACAGTCAATTTTGTGACTACTAAGAAACAGAATCCTCCTGGAGAACAGTAAATCCTAGAGAAGGATAAGCAGTTTTCCAACATATGTGCGCAAATGTTTCAACCTGTAATAAATGATACATGACGGCACTGAAGGCAGTAGTAAACACTGGGAACTACCTCCAGGATCCAATTGTGAGGAAACTTATACCTGCCTGATTTTGATATCATAAAATCTTAGAGAAAATATATCTCAGTCAAAAAAGAAGTATTGAAAACTAACTATTTGTTCTTGAGATAAAGTTTCAATATAGTGAAAGCATCAATGTTGGCTCTCTTTCCTATGCAGGCTCATATACACTTGTACAGTTCTTACTTTAAGGCCCTCAAAAATCAAGACTGCCCCAAATGGCTGACAGAAAATAAAGAAGAACATTCAGAAACAAAACCTAACATTGGAGCCTGAAATTATCCATTAAGACATTAGCTATACATTTGCCTCGGTGGATGGCTCAGATTACAAAATTCCTTAACATTTGTTTATGAGTATTAAATTATGATGGAAAAGTCACTAAAATCGCATTTTTGTATAGCCCCCATGACTGTGCCAAAGAAGGCACCTGCCACTGTCTATAGGTACGTACCCTTTCATCGTTTGTTGCTCTGCTGGACACTTCCTTTCCTTCATCAGGCATAGGCAATCGAGACAGAGAGAGTCCATTGAGAGCAGCCAACTTAAGGGGACCAATCTTTTTTGCATCTACTCGTGACTTTTTCATTCCCTGTAAAAATATTCGTGAGCATATATGAAATACATACACGGAATCCTTTGAAAATAAATCCCAATGGGCTAGAGGCTAGAAACAAAGGGAGTGTTCTCCTGTGCCACAGCGACAATGAGATTCCACTCCTTCACACATCATCTACATTGGGAGGAAGGCATTCCTTTCAAGGCCAAAGCTCTGATAAGTCTTCCAGATAGCCCTTCAAACTTAATTGGTTAAAGCTGTTGCAATGAAAGGTGGGGCTCTAGGCAGACAGCATTCCTTCACAGAGCTCCCGAATTTCAAAACATGACACAAAAACAACAGCTGCAGTCCACAAAAAATTAAAAAAAAAAAAAACACCTCTAAAGTGCAATTGCTTGAGTGTAATAAGCCTAAATAATATTTTTAAGATATAAATTTTAAAAATCATTGTAGAAAAAAATCAAATGCTTTTCCTTTCTGCATTGTGTTCCCATATCCTACTCTGTCTATTGCAAAACTGTGAGAGCTGGGCTGGATCACTATTACACCTCTGAGAATGGCTGTACTTTTAAACTAGGAAAATAAAACATGGCCTGAATTCTCCATCAGAAAGGCAGGCCATAAGAGAGAGCAACAACAGAATCTTGCATTTGAAAACAGGTGTTTCCTAAAGTTATCATTAAACCTAATGCTTTTCCTCTCTGACACAAATAAGCCTAAGAACTCTGTTTTCTAGGATGTTTGACAGTTCCTTGGAAGCCATAATAATTGCAATGAGTAGCCCCAGTGGTTTTCTGTTTTGTCTTATAAATGAATCAGGTTACACATCTGCATGGAAACAACACAAAGAATCTCTCTGTATAGCTATCTGCATCTCAAACTAGCAAAACACTATGTTTCTCTTACTGTCTCTTACGTTTTCTCTTCAATAAAATTGGAGAACAAGAGGGAGAAACAGGTTCTTCCTGGAAGTCAGGGTGGGGGGGGATGGTGGCAAATAAGGTATACACATGAGTAAATGTAAAATAAAATTTTAAAAAAAGAATCAGATTAATTCTAGCTCTATTAGCCTTAGAAAAGGCACTGGAATCCAAAATCAAAATAACAGAGCAAGAACAAAGAAAAAGACACTTGTCTGAGGGAAGGACATGCTGTGAGACTGCTAGTATAATTGGAGAATCTGATTCGTATCTAACTGGAATCCAGATAGGAATGGATAGCATCTTTGGTTAAAGTCTGGTGTCTAACATCCTTCAGGTAAATTACCTTTCCCTTCTAGATAAAGAAAGAGAGAGGGAGAGGGAGAGGAGAAATACACACACAAACAGAAACACAGACTAAAAGGTCATTCTGTTTTGGCTAATGTGTTACAGTTCTAATGTGTGCATAAAACAGTGGTGTGGTGCTCACTTTGGCAGCACACATACTAAAATTGGAATGATACAGAGCTTAGTCTGGCCCCCGTGAGAGGATAACATGCAAATTTGTGAAGCATTCCATTTTTTAAAAAGAAAATAAACAGTGGAGTGTTGGTAATCCTTAACAACTGACTTACCAGGAGGAAATGTTCTGATCTGCATTTGCCAATTTCCATGGTGTAAACACTCCATCACAGTCAATTTCAATCAGTCATTGGGACATCAGATTGCTGAGCATTTAACAGCCAGCTCCGGCTAGCCAATATGAACAAGCTCAGCACCCACAATGCTCCACACTGACATGCTGGATAAAGATGACTGGCTCTGGCCTGGCAGAGTGGCTCAAATAGTAGATTGCCTACCTGGCAAGTGTGAGGCCCTGAGTTCAAACCCCAGTACCGCCAAAAATAAAAAAATAAAAATAAAGTGACTGGCTCCAAGGTCAGTTCAAACACCAGTATTCAAAGAAAGTCAAAAGTAGCCTTGACTATCCCTTAATACTCTGAGAACACATGTGCATGCCATCTGCAGTGGTTTCCTTTTTTTTTTTAATTTTGAGGGTGTGTGTGTGTGTGGTTTTATTGTTGTTTTGTTTTCTGAGGGAGGGTCTCACTATATAGCCCAGGCTAACTACTCATGATCCTCCTGCCTCAGCCCCCCCAAGTACTGGGATTATAGGCTTGTACCACCATACCTGGCCTACATAGTGATTTCTTACAAGAGAACCACTGCACAAGACTGAAGAGTTCATCAAAGACAAGATCTTTATGTAGATGTATAAGCACCCAAACCAGTCTGCCTTTGAGATATAATCAAGTCCCTGGAGGAGAAGACAGATGGGTGGGGAATTCCAAAATGTTCCTTCCTGTCTGTAATTTATGTCACTATTTTTAACACTAAGCCTCTTTAAACTTCATTCACTTTAGTATATTTGTTTGTTTTAACTATTGTACAGGATAATGGCAACCCCATGTTACCATTAAGGGTAACAGGGTTTATTTAGCAGGAGTTGGTCTCTTAACCTAGAGAAGCTAGTAAATTAAACATACGATGCAACCCCACCGTGGGAAGTTAATGCTAACTGAGCACTTGTCTTGTGCCAGGGCCTCACTTCATCCCCTACCCCAACTCTGGGGTCACCTCATTTACAAATAAGAAAACTGCATCTAAGGTCACATAGCTGCCTCTTTTATAAAGGAGTCAATGTCCAAACAGTAAAGACAAATCTCTCACTGAAATTTGCTTATGCTGATGAAGCATTGAATTCAGAAGGCAGTTTTTGCCGCCTATCTTCATGTGGGCCTTAGTACTACGAAGCAAGTGGGAGGAGTGGGTGACTGTCGGGGTTATGCACTTAGAAGCTGAGATTGCTACAGGAAGCCAACTGGTGGAGTCCAGACTCACACCCAGGCCTTTCACTCTTAAGACCTGAACTCCTTCCTCTTGACCAAGCGCCAAACACATCCTTTAAGTAAAACCCCCTATACAAAACAAAGGGAGAGGGGCAAAAGCATAATTATTGTATTTTAAGGAAACCAAATTGATCAAAGTACTTGGAGTAAACTAAACCTGCCAGACCCCATTCAAAACATACAGAGATAAAATAGGCTTGCATTCTGGGTTGCCCTCAAAACAAGTATCATTTGGGTTGAAAGTACCTGAGTTACACAATAAAACAGTAGACAGTTTTTAGTGTAACGTCATGTTAGGTCCCATCTGGCTGGCTTAGGGACTCAGCTACTGTGAGAACCTCCACACCCTGTCCCCACCCTGATACCGCTCACCAGCCCATACCCTCAACCTCGGTCCATGAGAGGAACTGCCCTTTACGTTCAGATATGTAACACTGCACTCCCAGGAAAAATTAAATTGATTAAAATAAAACACACTTAAATCCATGGTCCTTTTCTAAGTAGTTTTTGTCTGTGCATGTTGAGCTATTTCAAGAGCACTATAATCCTGTGTTTTTCTCTGCCTATTAGAAATTTGCAGCAGTTTTCAGAATCTCATACACTAGACCAGAGCCACACTTGAGATGGGCCCTCTAGGCTGAGTAAGTAGTCTAACAGAGGTGGGGGGGGGGTCTCCTCATTGCCAAGACCCTAGGCAACAAAAAGACGCACTCACCACTTTGCCTTGGCTCCAGTGTGGGACACTGGGAGAGGAGGTGTGGGCCACAGGGAGCCAGATGCCAGAGCAATGCACAGGTGACTTAGAGTGGACACACTTCATGACAGGGCCACAAATGCATAGCAAAATTTGAGAACTCAAAAGTTTTAGTGGAAAGACAAGACCTTAACAAGTACTTATTGCTTAGTAAAATATTATACACAGTATAATAGGTGCAGAACAGTGAAGAAGAGAATAGGCTCCAGAGATAAATACTGGCTTAAAATTCCAGGTCAGTGCTCACTAGCTGAGTGACCTTGGAAAAGTTACTATCTTTCTACTTCTTTAGATGTAAAATGGGCAAAACAATAGGCTGGTTGTCAACTGGACATGCACAGTAAATGAAGGGCTCAGAACACGGCAAGCACTTTAACATTTTGTTTCAAATACATAAGAAAGGTTTAAACCACATTTATTGATTATACTAGAACAGTGAAAAGCTGATACTTCTGCAAGAGACTTCCTTTGAGTTCTCAGTTCACTAAATCTTTCTTTTAAAGAGACATGGAGCTCAGGGAGTCTGTCTTGACAAAGTGCCACCTTCCAAATTCTAGAATCATTTGCCAATCCTCAGAGGTCATGGCCAAGATATTCAAGCTGTATCCACAGATTCTGACCTTGAGGATTATATTAAGAGCTAAACACACAGCCTTGAATGCCTGTCCCAGGCATCACTTGAGTCAACTGAACAAAGGCAGTCCTGGGATGCTTCATCAGTCATGGTAATTTTAGCGTGATTAGAAAAGCAATCTTGGCTAAGTCATGAAATCGTCACCTCCCTTTCCTTAATATCACATCACTAAGACATTTATTCATGATCCCTCTCCGTTGCATCCATCCTTTTCACTCATCCAATTCATTGTCTTCAGCAAAACCACTAAAACTAAACTAAAACCACTAAAACTCTCATCAGTCCACATTATTTCCATATATAAACCCAAACCGTTCAAAAACACAAAAGTAGAGTCACACAGAGTGATGAAAATGGGAAAAGAACAAGAAAAAAGCTGAGAAACATCAAAGTAATACGTGAAAGAAAAGAGGAGACAGAACAGAGGAAGCTGAAGAGACAGGTGAAGGGGCCACCCTTCGAGTCTGAGGCATCTCTGCTCCTGGATGGCTTACCCCTAGTGGCGGAAGTCCTTCCACAATGTTCTTCTTCCCAGAGAGGAGATCCGACACTGGCCTTTTCTTCAGAGAGTCCCGCCTGGCCCGGTACCTCCCTGATGTTGTGAGGTCCGACTCTGACATGGAGGGTGTCAGCAGCCCATCTCTTCGGGACCTCTGGGCTTCCACAACCAGGTGCACGGGGTTGATGTCCCTTGCCCTCTTCTCAGTCTCTGTGACATGGGACTTGGGCTCAAGAATATGCAGAGGGCCAGTGACTGCGGTGACAGAAGCACAGGGGTAGGTCAGCTGTGGCTCCTGGGAGTAGGTGGCTGGCCGCTGGGGCTCAGGCCGGGCAGGCAGAGCCTGTGATCCATTGTCCTCTTCAAAGTCCTCGTCCTCTTCACTGCTGTGTATCAGCATGGTGGCATCCGAAAGAGACTTCTTGTGGCCATAGCTCTCGCTTTCCTGCTCTTCAGGATCCTCTTGCTTTGTTCTGTCGGAGAAGACACTAGGCTGGGAGCCTGCTAAGAGAGACCGTGGGGCCACATCTGCTGCAGAGGCCGACATGGTCCTTTCCTTGAGCCGCAGGCCTTCAAAGCCATGGGTGATCCCTGCAATCTCAATGCTGTTCCTCTTCTGCAACTGAGCATGCCGGGCCGCGGTGAGAGGCTCACTGACCTCCTGCAGAGAATGGGCCACGGGCAAGCTGTCCTCCTGGAAAGTCTGTACGGAATGGTGGACTCGCCTGGTGATGAGATCCGGGTTGCTGCTGCTGCTGTACAGGTGGCGGGACAGATCTGGGGTGCTGTTGGCAGGCCTTGGGTATGGGTAGGGTGGGGGCGGGCGGTACACCTGAGTCTTCATGATGTTTGGAGCTGGGTAGTCCTGGGCTTGGAGCTGCACATTGGTCAGCTCGGGCACACTGACTGCGCCCACCACCGGCCGCCTCTCGGCAGGGTAGGGGTAGGGGGACTGGCTGTGGAAACTGTAGTTCAGGTTGAACGGGTAGTGGGCCGACTGAGGAGAGGTAAAATGTGCATGCTCCCGAATTTCGGGCTGGCTGTAGACCAGGGCATCCGGCCTGCTGTAGGCGTAGGAGTTGCCAATATTGAGGTTGCGCAGCGAGTGACTGTGCCTTTCCGCATGTGCCATGCCTCTGTTGAGCTGCTTCATCACAGTCTCGTAGTCTGGGGTTGGGCGGTAAGACGGGGGTATCAGGGCACTGTGCCGATGGGACGGGATATAGTCGGGTCTCGTGACATCACTGCCAGTAATGCTTGGGTTTGAGGACATCGGGGAGGGCTGCAGGTACGGCGGAGGGTTATTCAAGGAGCTGGTACTTTGTGTACTGTAGACACTGCCACTGCGGATCCGACCACTGAGGTCAATCTGGGCTCTGTCCAAACTTGTCTGGGAGTGACAATAGCATCCATTCTGGTTGGGCACAAAGAGGTTATCTGAAAAAAGAAAGTTTTCAAATAAATTTTTTAAATGCATTAAATTGAACCAAGTACTCCAGCCAAATTTCGAGATAGGCCCTGAGCTTGGGTGACATTTTCAACACAAATTGCAAAAATCCTTGCTAAAATGATATAGATTCAGCCACACTATCTGAGTGGCCCTGGGAGCCTCGACTTCCTCATCTATAGGATGGGGGTGGGTCTATCTGCTTAAAGGGAGGTGTTTAGGATCTGGCCCCTAATAAAGTTTAGCTAAATCTAGTCCAATGCTAAGAGTACAGTTGTATCACACAACATCTTTTTTCTGAAAGTTAAAGATGTGCTTCACTACAGACATGAAACAGACTTTCTGGAACTCTAAGGAACTCGAGGCAGACACTACTCAAGGCCCTGAGCCACTGACTGCTTTCTCTCCCTGATGCTGAATTAGTTCAAGCTCCAACTGTCTATAAACATTTCCTTAACTGGAATTCTGGATTGTCTGCAAAAGTTCTTCCAGAATGAAGAAAATGCTTCCCCTCTCAAAGGGCACTGGTGCAACAGGAGCTGAGTTTCTCCACTGCAACAGGGTCCCCAGTAGCTGCACACCACTTGGTGCCCAGAAGCTAAGAAAAACCAAGCTAAGACAGCTGAGCTGCCACCTGCCCAGCCTCCATGTTTCAGTAAGACTTGGATCCAGGGCTCACAGAATCAGGAGTCTAATCTTACAATGCTAGATATGTAACCTGTCTGAGGCCATGTTTCTTCTGGTCAACCTATAGTTCACCTGTCTGCTTTATAATAAGCATGATTTCCAACACTTCAATGAAAGCTCAGCAGTCAAGTCCTCCACAAAAGTTTCCTTTGAAAAACATTCTTTGTGTGCTTCCAAAATTCTATGATAGTTTAACTGACAACTGATTATCAAAGTAATATACTACAGACCACTGGGTGCATTTTATTCTAGTGGCACACATAGCTCCAAAGAAACAGCCCTCAAATGTTCACTCTGTCCTTCCTCCTAACACACTGTTTTCTTGTCACTGTGCTTTCCCCAACTACTGAACACTTGGCCACTGTGAAGACCCTAGAGTCTACCTTTTCTCACTGCCATCAGAGTTTAGACCCTTAGTCCAACTTGTCTGGACCAGTCTGACAACTGCCTACCTGGTTGGTGTCTCTGCCTCCAGGCTCCTCTCAAACCATCCAATCATTTGGGAGCCTGTTTTGTATAGAGGACTGTACCAAGAGTGGAAGAAGATAAAAATGACTAGAATACAGGCAAGTACAAGTTGAAAGGAGAAGAAACAGGGTTATAGGATTCTGGAGGAGGGAAGAACCGCTTCCAGCTTGGGCTAAATTGGTGGGGGCATGGAGTAGATAATTAGAACAACCTCACAGAAGATGCAGCAATCAAGGGGCCTTCCGGGGCAGGTGAGAGGGGTAGTCCAGCTTCCAAGGGTAGCTAGGACTCTGAGAGCACATAAAATTATACCTGTCTATCCCTTGAGGCTGGGCATAGCCATGTGACCAGTAATAGTCAAGGGAAGGTGAGCAGAGAGTTAAGAGCCAGTTTCTGTGTTCTCTTCCCCTGGCTCCCTGCCCAACAACATTCCAGATGGAGAAAGTCCCCCCAGCTCAGGTCCCTAAGGCAGGCTGAAAGGAGCACAGCCTGCCTGCCGGGACATAATGGACAGGTAACCTGAGCCACTGAGAATTTAGAATGTTGTTAGCACAGTGCAACTCAGCACATCCTGGCTGGATGGCAGGAGGGTACTTAGCATATGGGCATCTGGGTGATGATGCAGCATGGGCAAAGCCAGGGCCCATTCCTAGAGAGCTGGCCAGAGAAGAGCAAACTTTCAGCAGAAAATCAGATCAGAAGACAGGCTAAGGGAATATTGTGGAGAGTCATGAAAATTAGGTGAAGGAATGACAAAGGTTAGCTGGCAGCCGGTGTCAGATGCGCCAGGGAGAGGGGAGACTGATGATACAATTCATGAGATGCAACAGCTACTAAAACATATGAAAGGAAAAAGGAGGGAATTGGATCAGAAGCAGGGGGACAGGGAGAAGAAGATATGGATGAAGTTACAGGTAATAGAATTCTGAACTGGTTAGATGTCAAGGGCAAAAAGAAAATCAGCTTGACATGAAGTAAGGAATATAGGAAAGAACAGGCTTATAGAGTAGGGCAATGAGTTCAAATTTCCTATTTTAATTTTCAGCAAGTATTAATAGCTAATATCACTCCCTGAGTGCTTTCCATTTGCCAGGCACTCCACAGAGGGTTTCACATGCCCAGCTGTCACACCCTGTCACAACCCAGGGCTGAAGCACAGGAGAGCTGTCTCCCTCGTGGGAATGGGAATGTGGATGAGTCTGCTATGGAAGGTCCCAATGGGAAGCAGGAGAAGAAGTAGAAAGGTGCAGACAGGATTTAAGGACACTGAACAACAATGATGGAAGGAGGACCATGAAAATGGAAAAAAAAAATCCCAAGCCATTGTTTGAAGAGAGAGGGAAAAAAACCTATTAGGATAGTCATAGACCAAAGGAGAAGAATGAGTAGCAAAAAGACTGACAAGGCAGAGAAGACTAACCAGGCAGAGAAGACTAACAAGGCAGAGCTGCAGGGTAGGAGGGGCTGAGGTGCAAGTACAGATGGGCAGATGCCAGGAGGAGAGATCAGTAGTGAAATACAAAACTCCCAGAGGTGGATGCTCAGGATCCATAGCCCAGGCACTGCTCTCCTAGTGTCTACCACCCTGTACAGGCGTTCTCATCTATATGCACAAGCTCTGGCACAAGCAGTGCAGTCACACTCCATTCCATATGGGCTCCCACTCTCTAACACCCATTTCTTCATTCTGTGCCGTGGCATTCAATACTCCTAAAGAGCAGCAGCCCCAGTCAAGGACTGTTGAAATCAGCCATCTCTTGAGGTCCAGAAAGCTCTTCTCAATGCCCCTAACGGCATGAGTCTGTCTTCCACTAAACAGCACAGTGATTGCCTGTGCTCTCACAACAAACATCGCATTCTCATTGCGTTCAAGTCATGTGTGCCTTTGCCTTACCCCCGTGACTACATTCAACATGTGAAATTACTCATCTACATCAACCTCTTGGCCTTTAGTACAACCTTCTTCACTGATTACAGAGTAAATGCTAAATAATGCTCAAGGTTCAGCATGGAGGCACTGTCACAAATATAGTTCCTGATGCTCATTATGTGAAAACTGAAGTATGCAATTGTTTAAACCTTTACAATGGGAAGTTCTCAGGCAGGGAAAAACAAAATGAGTCTGGACATCTTTTGCCAGAAATTAAAAAGCACTTTTAAAGGCTAATGAGGGCTGTGTATGGTGGCACATGTTTGTAATCCCAGCTTTTGGGGGAACAAAAGTGAGAGAATTGTGGGTTCAAGGCCAGCCTAGACTATATAGCAAGATGATGTCTCAGAAAAAAGGGCTAACGGGGGTAACGATTTTGAAGGAATTACAGCTGCCTGAATCTGGTATCATCTGAGCATCAAAATCTCACACTGCATACTTTCAGCCAAGAAAAAGAACTTGAATGTAAAGGCTTTTTCTATAAATCCAGAATGGCTATAACCGTGACAATTTGGGGTATAGCTTCAGTCCAAAACTATCTAGGCTTCAAAATTCTAGGTCTCCGCAGATTTTTTTCATAGTAGTAACTGTGCAAGACTTTGCAGAATTAGTGTACTTTACCTTGGGAAGAAGCATATGGCTCTGTGTAATGTCCGTTATAATGCAGCTGGGGTGGAGGAGTCATCACATAGGGCTGGGGCTTCGGCTGAGAAATGGAAAGGTGGACAGGGTTAAAACACATTGCCTGTGTAACAGAGGTAAAGTGATTCTCTGCTAGATTCTCTGTTAGAAACTTCCAAAGGTAGTTATACATGGAAACTACACACAGAAGACGCAGTCAGTCTTCCCGGATCTATCATTTTCAATGCCCCCACGGGGCAACGCCGAGCCCTATGCCCTGACACCAAGGACACTAGACAGCCCCAGAAAATATGCGTCCAAAACATTATGAACAAGAAGGGACACACACAAAACTTCTTGTGGTGATGTGAATATAAGAAGCTTCCGATCTTCTTAGATAAAGTCATCAAATAACTTCAATATCTATCGACTTATGATTACTCCTGCCTACTAGCTAAAATTTGTAGTATTTGGTTGGACCTAACATTTAAATATGCACAATGCGATAAATATTAGGTTTGAACCTATGAAAAAAATCACCATTTCTTTGGATAAAAGTGATCAAATAGCAAATCTTTGTGATTTGAACTCAAAACTAACACTACCAAAAAAGCACATTTTATTAAGGGAAATGATACGACTAAATGAAAAAAACATCATATTTTCCTTCTTTCTTACCAGAGACATCCTTGAAGATGACCTTCTCCTGAGTGGGTTCACAGTGACAGTCTGAGTTTGCCTATAAAAGAAGACAACTTTGAGACAAGTGGACACACTTCCTAATTCTACTAAAATAAATTAAGATATAGGAAGGTAAGACAAAGTAACCAGTCATGAACTGGAGAAAAGAAAAGGGAGTGAGCCACTGTCCTCACATGGGGCTTTAGCCCTCTTCTGCTGCCAAAATCCCACACACAACCTGGGGCACCTTCACCTGGACTATGAGAGGGACTGCGCACTGCCTTCCCCTGGCCTACCCAGGAAGAACCTCTGGAGTGGCCATAAGCAGGTGGGAGGAGAGACCAGGCTGTCTGTCCTGTGCGCTGGGCAAGGCAGTGTCTCCACTGAGAGTACTGACAGGGATGACCATGAACTGTCAGCCCAGAAGCTTCCTGTTGGAAGCACCTTAATTAATTAAAAGTCTGCTAACCATAGACTCTAAACAGAAGGAAAAGCTAAGTTTATAATTTTGGTGACTAAAGAGTTACATTTTCTCTAAGGGACTAAGTTACAGAAAGCAAGAAAGCAGAAAGTTGGTTCTCTGGGCCTGTAGTAAATCCATTTGCCTTGGATGAAGGGTGGCTCAGTGGTAGAGAACTCCCTAGCATTCCTGAGGACCTGGGCTAGATCCCCAGCACTCCAAAAAAGAAAAACAGCCACACTTTTCTCTGGTTAAATAGATATTTATAAAAGCAACTATAGGTATTAAGAGAGATGATTGATATTACTTGATAATTTGAGATTTTTAAACTATCCATATAGTCCCATGTTTGCATAAGCAACTAGGAACAAGAAACAGAAAAGTCTATTTGTCACTCTGTTGTTTTTAACAGAAGCAGGATTTTCTTTGTCATTGTTCTCGGTCAGTTTTATTGCAAATCACATCTAGGAACCTAAAAACATCAGATTCTTGACTTTGTTGATAACTTACATAATTTTGTAAAAGGACATTTTTTAAATCTTTTACCATCTGTTCAGCCTTCTGAGTTTACATGACATATAATTACTGATTATAAAGATATTTTATGACCTTGGGCTAATGTTTAAGGACTAATTACTAGAAAACCTATGATCACAAAGTGAACATTTAATCTGCACAGTTAGCATAATATCAAGCCTCTTTCCCTCTAAATTGGTATTATTTTTAGCTCTCTGATAACTGGTATCTTTATTCAGACCTTGAATTTATCTCATTTTTACAAGATGTTTAAGACAAAAATAAAACTAGTGGATACTAAGAACTAAGCATCAGGTGACTACAACTCTTTTACTAGGTGACTTCTTTACATCATTTCCTTTCCTTATTGCATAGTACACAGGTTAGTGATCAAGCACACATGTCTCTTTTCTAAAGGATACATCAGCCTTCCAGTATTCATGGTAGTGAGACAAATCTGCCCAGTGCACCTGGGCTTTTTCAAGAATATGCCTTAATTGCACACAAGACACTGAGTTTTGTTACTTTGAAATTTACGTTGTCTCTGACTATCCTCCATAGTCAGGGCTAGGGTTAGACACACTGGAGTCTCTTGAGCTCTATATTCAGTTTATGAGAGACTCACTAGGTGAATTGAATTTTTTAAAGTGCCATAACTTCAAAAACAGAAAAAGGGCTGATGGTAGAATATGCTATCAACAATAAATTCCAACATTTCTACAGGTGCCCAACCTAGAGCAAAAATAAAACTTCAGTGTGTTAAGAAACCCTATAAGGGAGGTCCAGTTATTATCCTGATTTTACAGATGAGGAAAGTGATACTTAGATTAAGTACGTCACTCCTGGTCACATGGCAAACAAGTGGCAGAACCAGTGGTGGAACAAGCTGGTCTGTCAGATTTCTGAGAGTACTCTCTGACATTTGTCTGATCCCCTCCCCTACCAACTACTTTGTCAGCACCATGGAAGCAGAAGACATCACCAGTGCCCAGCACAATGCCTGGCACACAAGAATCCCTAACGTGCGTGTTGGACAAATGATAACACAGTGAGTGAGGCTGAAGTTGTGCTCATTACTGAGCATTTACAGTCAAGCTCATATTTGTAACACTTTGCTTTGTGAGGTGCCTTTCAATCATTCATATCTTTACTTATACTTAGTAAAGAGGAGAGTTTGATGAGCAAAATGTGTTGGATGGTGGAAATACCTAGAGAGTGACTTTCCTCTTGAGCTTTCCATAGAGTAACAAAGAACAAAGCTCATCTCCCTCTCTATTCTAGGGTAAGCAGAGCTGCATATCCAGGCTGCTTCAAGGTCTCTGGTCTGCCTCTAAGATGTCTGCCTCCACTTGCTATGGATCCCTCCTGGTGTAGCTCCCTGATGCTCTGGCAGGACAAGGGAAGAGACTGGCAGAGATCATCCCAGGTTTCAGATGGGAGGGACTGGCTTCACTGGAGGTCCGTGACGTGTGCTTTTCTAGGGTGATATTGACCTTCATCTACCCAAAGGTCTGCTCAGAAATCAGTGCTACCTCTCTCCAGCTCTACCTCTACCAGGTCCCTGTGCCCAGGTCTTGTTGGGGAGGAAGGGGAGATATCACATCCATTGTCTGGCCCAGTGGCTGCCCCTGCACTCCTCTAACCTCTTACTGCCCTGCTCCTTCCCAGGGATCCATGGGAACCACTGAGTCTTCTCCACACCTTGGGACCAGAGGTCTGGAAGAGGAGCATGCTGTTCCATCTTTTTTCAGGTTTCCTACAGTCCTGTCAAGACTGCAGTAGGCCTAGAAGATGGGGCCGTCCAGGCCAGGGAGGATGGAATGAGAGGGATCTACTCTAGTCAGTCTCCTGATCACAAAAGTCTCCTGAACAGAGGAAATTTTTGTCTCCTTAAAGCCCTAAACTGCAGGGGGACTTTCAGCCACCCTCTCAGTATGCTCAGCCACCAGCACAATGCTAATAGAAATCCAGGTTTCTGGATTTTCAGGCTGAGAATTTAGCCCACAAAGAGAAGAGAGGAAAGCCCCTGCCCTGAGATGCCTCCCATCTTCCAGTCTTTTCCTCATATAAATTAGGGATGCTGATTACAGCATGACCAGAGCTGGGACTTTGGATGGGGAAGAGAGACTTGAAAGAAGCATTCTGACCTAATTGATTGATATTAACTCATTTAACTCCTAATCCAACCACAAAAGAAATGTCAACTAAAGGTCCTATCATCCCTATTTTCTAAATAAAAAAGGTAAACTCCTAAGTAACATTTTAAAGCTTGGGTGACATAAAAAGATGATTCCTGCAGTACTTTTCTGATGGGTTGTGGCAGGTAGACTGATAAATCACATTACTGTATGTATACTACAGTTACATGAATCACCTAAGACCGTCCAACACCATTACATTGTAGATCAGGGCTGGATATAGGACACTGTCAGAGAAAAGTCCTCCTTCTTACGCAAGTAGACTACATCTCTAAGCCACCAGGTGCCCTGCCTGAGCCAGGTATCCAGAATCCACTGTCCAGTTCCAGGCCAGCTGCAGCTTTGTTATCTGCCCTGTCACACTTGAGTTTACCCACCTGACCATGAAAAGTCTACTGATACTTCAGAATCATTATAATATTAAATGTGACTAAACAATCCACATTGAGAACCTTAAAGGAAATGGCCATTAAAACTAAAGTTATTTTCAGTTTTATTACCCATCAAAATATTAAAAGCTAGTATTAAAAGCTTCACTTACTTTATATGGGAAATAAATATACACAATGAAATATGTTCATTTCACACAGAATGAATCATAAACAAATTATACAGGAATAGCTCATGGACATGGGCTTCTATAATACGCTAAATATATACAGATTTAAAACCAAATATGGAAAATAGCCCCTTGTACATAATTATTCCGCTTTTTTAAAGAATCAAATGTTCTTTATATGGGTATAATATATGCAACTAGCAATGATATTAATGTGGTTTTATTCACACTTGCCAATAAATAGCAATATTTTAAAAACTAGATTTGTAAGACTGTACTACTTACCACAAATAATCATTTGTTGCTTTTCTCTGAATTTTAAAATCATTACTAGATGATGATTTGCCAAAAAAAAATGTTTTTTTAAAAATGCATTAACAACCAATATGGATGCCCACCAGAAGGACAGATTTTATGGTTTAGTCAAAATGATTCATTCCCCACTATTTTCCAGAAAAAGAATGAACTGAGATAATTATGGTCCGTTATGAACAGTCTTAAATTTATGAAAGGCATTAAAATGAAAACACTGTGTTCTAATAGATTTCCTACCTACTGCCTGAATCTTAGAATACATTTCTGCATAGAAATAATGTCACACATGGCTGTGTAGGCAGGCCAGCCCATAGGAACCCCAAATGCAATCAATGATCCTGGAACTACCATCCAGGATCATTACAGTGGCACAACTGACTCTAACCACCAGGGGGCAAACTTCCATATGCAATCACACCCACTTCTCCAAGTGGAAGCCAGCAGAAAAACCTGGTCATGCCACCAAGAACAAAGTCATGCCATTTTCAGGACAGTATATGGAACTGGAAACTATTATGTTAAGAGAAATAAGTCACACTCAAAAAGACAATATTATATGTTATCTGTCATATAAGGAATTTGGGAGGTAGGACATGAAAGTGTAAGAGGGTCTATTAGAGATGTCTATTTGACATCTATTAGAGATGTCAAAAGGGGATAGGGCGTGGGAGATGAAAAAGGGTAATAGAGGGATGGATATCATCAAAGCAGATTGTATGCATGTATAAAAATAACAGGGCTGGAAGTGTGGCTCAAGTGGTAAAGCACCTGCCTAACAAACACGAGGCCCTGAGTTCAAACCCTAATACCACCAAAAAATAAGAAAAAAAAAATGTCCTAATAAGACCCATTACTTTGTACAATTAATATAGGCTAATTTAAAAAGGCTGCTCATATCCATGAAGAAATCAGGGTTCCTCCTCCCCAACAGTACTTGACAAAAACCCATCACCAAACTAGTGGGGAGCATTAGACAGAAAGGTGTGCGAGGCAGGGAGAGGACAGGCCTTAGTGCCATCACTAGATGACACTGTCCTATGAGACAGCCCTGCCTATCCTCTTTGAAATGCTGCTCCTGAGCAGGTTCTTTCACACCCTGTAAAACAGAACCTCTGACAACGGCCCCCTTCCTTCCTGGCACAAAAGGACAAAAAGACTTCCCTATGCCCCCAATTTACAGTTGGTATTTAATGACAATCGGGCAAAGGGCAAAAGGGCTTTTCTCCTCTGTGGTTCCCATCACCATTGGACTCAGACTTCCACCATTCACTAAGCCCTCATGACCAGGCAGTGCCTTGCCAGACAAGGGACATGAGGACTAGCAAGGAGACCCTGCCCTCATGGAGCTTCACTGGACAAAAGAGACAAATCAAATCCACGTGACAGCATCAGACACAAAATCCACTATCGGTCTAGCAGAATGGCTACAGTCTTACTGCTCCCATTTACAAGATGAATGGCAGTGGTGCAAGTCTCCAGACCTTCATTGATACCGAGGCAGTAATAAGAATGTGCGAAACGGTGACTATGTGGATTACAGGAGATAAAAAGCTCTCAGCGTGCTGCCTGACACAGAGCAAACATTTACTGAGCTACTGTAATGAATTATTAGAATCATCATTATAAAAGAGATGGAAGAAACTAGAACTTTCAGAGTAGTATTAAGAACTAAGCAAACTAAACACTTGGTGGAGCCCACCTGGGATAGCTCAATTTAAAATTAGATTTTAAAGAAAAGTAAAGAGTCTGCCAGATACAAGGAGGAAGGGCGTTCCAGCACCAGCTTGGGCTATAAGAGGAATGCCCCAATTAGTAGCAATGGATTCTGAGAGCCAGAATTGAGGATCAGCAGGGCCAGCCCCAATAAGCCAGAGATGGAGGACTACAGGAGGGTACCCTTAATTCTGTAGCCAGGAAGGTAGGAAACATGCTCAGATTTGGTCCTGACCCAAACTGAGCAACGCTACGTCTTTTGCTCATGTATCCTGAAGAATGAAGAGGCAGGGAGGCCAGATGCGAGGCAGCAGCTGTGGTGCAGTAAGAGAGGCCAGCATAATGAAAAGTTGGGGAGGTGGGGGCTGGTGTGTGGCACAAGTGGCAAAGCACCTGCATAGCAAGCTCAAGGCTCAAACCCCAGAACCAACACACACACACACACACACACACACACACACACACACACAGAATATTGTAATGATTAAGAAAAACCTTTCAGTCTCAGTTTCTATGTGACTTTGCTGGGAAGCCATTCCTAACTTGGCAGTTCAGGGTGAGCTACCTTTATCCTAAGGCATCACAGACACCCTGAAGCACAGCTCTTAATACATGTTTCTGTAGACCTGTTCAACAATTTCATCAAGGCCTACAGTGAGCCAGACACTTGCGTGACACTGGGAATATGGCAGTTAAGTTGGGGAGAGTGTCTGTCACCATGCATGGCTGTGGGGCTTGCCTGCCAGTAGGAAATACAGACAATAAACAAGTAAACAAACATACAAATTTAGGTGGTGCCAAGTGCTATAAAGAAGAACAAAGCAAGGTGAGGGAATCGGTAGAGATAGGTAATAATGGACGAGGGTGACAAAAGGTAGTCCAAGGCACATCTGAAGAAAGGGCACGATAAGGCCCTGGGTTCAAACCCCAGTGCCGCCAAAAAAAAAAAAAAAAAAAAAAAGGGCACATCTCACCAGGTGTGGTGGCACCTGCAATCCCAGCACTCAAGAGACTAATGCAGGAAGATTGTAAGCTCAAGGCCATCCTGAGCTACAGAGCACATCTGATCAGACACCTGGTAGCAGTGAGGGAGCAAGGCATGAGGAAACAATCATTCCAGGAAAGAAGGAGCACGCACACTATCCCTAAACGCAGATGCTCACAGTCAGCAAGGATGCTAGCAGGCTGAACAAAATGAGCCAGGAGGAGGGTAAAGGAACACGATCAGAACTGGGCAAGGACCACATCAAGTACAGCCTCGTACATTTGTTGTAAGTTAGATTCATTGAATGCCAAAGGGCAGGGGGCTTCAGAAGAGTGGTAGGATCTGACTCACATTAAATAAGATCATTCCAGCTGACTTATGGAAAATAAGCCACAAGTGGGGAGGCACAGAACAGAGAACATCAGAAGGCTACAGCATTGTCAGCAAAGGGATGATAAAAATGGTCAGATTTCACATTCGTCTTGAAGACAGAGCTGGCAGGGCTTGCTGATGAATTGGATGTGGAATGAAAGAGAAATAAGAGTCAAGTACAACTTTTAGGTATGAGGCCTGAACGACGAAGTGAGCACAGCATACTGCCACTTGTCAACGTGGACAACAGTAAGGAAGAAGCAGGCTAGAGACAGGAAGAGGAGGAGATGGGGGGGCCTGCTTTACGTGTATCAAATTGAGATGCCTTGAAGATTCCCAGAAGAGCATGTCAAGTAGGCAGATGCTGGAGCAGAGAGCTTGGGAGAAGGCTGGCCAGAGGTAAAATCTGATGCACTGCTAACAAAGAAGGCCCAAGGCTGGTGAAGCCCCTTATGGAGAAGAGATGCAGATGAGTTTCAGCGGTGACCCAGCAAAGAGGACTAAGAGCAAACAGCTTAGAGTGAGGAAACCCAGGGGGGGCTTGCTGTCCTGGCGGTGGTCAGAGGTTCAGTGCTGTGGGGCATTCAAAACACAGAATTGAGATGACACCATGTAGAAGGCCACCTGATCATGGCAAGCAGAGTCAGTAGTGTGGTCCTCAGGGGAGAAGCCAAATGTACAAGGCTTTTGAAGAAGTCTGCTATGAAGGAAAGCAGGGACATGGCGCTGGGACTAGACTGGAACACAGAACGAAGGACACCTGTTTCACAGTTGAAATATCACAGTGTGTTTGAATGCTGTGGGAGCAATCTGGCAGAATGGGAAACCCATGTGGGCTACTAAATGATACACTAGGATAAAGGAAAAGAAATTCTTCAAATGGCCAGAAAAGCTGAATAATCTTCACTCAAAATGCTGACCAGGACATCAATTAAAAAAAAAGTAGTATCCCCTTTTTTTTAACTGTTAAGAATTAGAATAGTTCTAATACTTATTTTTTAAAAAACTCTTAGAGGCATAACTGTAGTTATTCGAAGTTGTTCCAAAGCCAAAGTGAGAAAGAAACTGGTATGTCATTTTAATAAACAGAGATTATTACAAAGTTGTCAAAAAACTTATCTGATAGCTTTCTAGATGATACAATAAGGCTCAGGATTATTATTTCTAAATTTATTATTTTCTACAGCTCCATGAGCAGAACATACTCACAGGGTGCACTGGTTTAGCCTGTAAAACTTATGCCGTGCAACACAGAGCCTCCACACGTATTTTGCTGTTTCCATGTCTTCCTGGGAAACAAAACACGCATAAAGTAATATGAAAGAACACACACAACATAATACTTTTAATGAAGAGTTTGCCCAAGAATAAGACACAATTGGGTGACATATTATACCAAAGTAACTTTCCACTGTTCTATCATATCAACGCTACAAGTAGAATTTAAGTTATGAAGACAAAATAATCTGTTCTGAGAGTCTGATATTAAACAATTTCAAAAACACGTCCAAATTTAAAACTTAAAAAAATCAACTTTTATTCTTGACAAATATACTCAAAGACTTTTTAAACAAAACATGTGATTCAAGGACTCAGTATCGCTTTTGTCAAGAGAGCAAAGCAAATAACTGTTAAATAGCATTTCTGCAGAGCTGTTCATTATCAGTGGAAATAACATACTGGAGCTTACTTTCTCCCCACTCAGTCTCTTTGTTTAATTCAAAGGTCACCTTGATCAGAAGTGCTTACTGAACGAGTCATTCTTTCACCCAATATATCTACCAGACAACTTCGTTCTGCCAAGTGCCATTTTGCCCTTCGTGTATCATACAATTGTGAAATAGTGTCACTAACACTACCCCTCCCCAAGCACGCAAAGGCCCACAAATGCTAATTTACTCACTTTTAGGAAAGCATCCTACAGATCTCTACTGTCTACTCACAGTTTGAAATTGGATGGTCTCCTCTTTATTTGCCAGCTCTAATGCAAAAAAGGACTTGTTGTGGGACATGTTAGCAATGTCATGCCACCTAAAGAACAGCAGAAAATGGCAACGTGAGTGTGCCCAAATGTGCACTAGAGACACCCAGCCCATAACCGTGCCTGAAATTTGATGCATAAGCTGATATTGGTTAACCATTTTTGAAACAAAACAGTTGTTTAATCAGCTAGCACGAATTTCCTAACTGAAGTGACAGTGGCTAATTGCAAAAAAGGAAATGAATATACAGTAAAAGAAGGAAAAGAATATTCAAAAGATGTAAAATAGTTATCCTTATTTGCTAGATTACTTTGATGATCAAAGATCCCTAGCTAGCTTACAGCAACTGCCTAGCAAAAGTGAGGCCCTGAGTTCAAACCCCAGTCCTGCTGTTATTACAATGCCAGAAACTGCATCAGGACCTAAGGATACTAAAATCAGGAAAGCGGTACTTTGCTCAAATGGGCACTTTTGAAGGTTGAGCGTGCAAGAGATAATACAGGGTAGAATGAGGCACAAAAGCAGGAGAGGAGTGCTCTGAAAAGCTTCAGGATGAAGATAAAGTTAACTGAACTATTCTGAGAGTGTTCACTGCAACACAAAACTAGCACGTACTTTTTTAAAATCATATTTAGCTTTATTAGTATTTGATTTTATTACATAACTGTGTAATTTTATAAAAGGGAAACATGGCTCTGGAATAAAACATTTAACCTGGTTTCTCCCTTCTCATTATGCAATACAGGTTAATTAGCCCTTCTCTGAACTGCTGGGGTCAGAAGTTTGTCATATTTTGGAATAATTACACAGATCACCAGTTGAGCATCCCAATCTAAAATTCCAAAAATGATAAGCTCCAAAATCTTAACTTTTTGTGTGTGTGTGCAGCATTCAGCACAGTTATCTAGCTAATGATAAATTACTCAATAAATGGTAGACAAAGGAACCAAAAAACAAAAGTGATGCTTTAACACTTTATCAAAACAATATAAAATTTAATTTTTTTATCAAGAAAACATAAAATCTGCAAGTGATTCAATGAAATGACTCTGTGGATTTTCTAAGATTAGAGATTTTAAGGAATTAATGTTGTAATTGAACACGGCTCTATTTGCCATGTAAAAGATTTAAGTTGGAACACAGAATACTAAAAAGGAAAGTTAAGCAATCTGCAAATTCACTGTTAAGAAATTACACACCACAGTATGCACATCATTAATACATCTTTTGTCTTTTCCACTACTACACTCCAAGATTTCCACAAAACAGATGAGAAGTCAACATTACAAAAAATAATTGAAACTTGCTAAGATGTTGGTATTTTAGGAATTTTGTTATGTAACTAAAGTCAAAAGGAGGCTCTAGATTTTCCACAACAAATAGCCCTAGAAACTAGAGCTCAAATAAAAAATTTACCTCAAAACAAAGAATGGTCTCCATATGGCAGGAACAGGGTCACACATTCTTAAGTACTTTATAAGTAGGCCATCATTATTAGCACTATTTTCTGCACATCTGGTTTTGAAGAAAGTGGTGTACTAATGAACCACTGCATTCAGATGGTATTTTACTTCGGGAAGGAAATTATTTCCATTTCTAATGAGCACTTGGGGTTGGGGAGGAACTTGTGAGCACTAATCCGGATGCATCACCAACAGTAGCCATAGAACATAGGCAGAAAAAGGTAAGAAAAATACCTAAATATAACAGGAGGCCTTCCATTCTTGTGTTTCACAAAGATACCTTCAAGACATGCTCCAATGGATATGTCACTTCCTTGGCTATCCTGAGAGGAGAAAGCAGGGGAAAAAACTCAGGAAGCAGATGCATAGGAACTGCAACGAACTACTCCACTTTGCTGATCTTGTTTCCAAGATATTCAGTCTTCAGAAAAACAAAGAATATAAATGTGCTTTCTTATAAATAGTATGAAAATAAAGAATTTGGACTCTTAGGGACCATTTTGCAGCAGGAACTGCAAAACTGGAATGTGTTTTACAACAAAAATTCTGGTCACAAGGACCCCAGCTTTTAAGTTTCCAGGTTGCTTTTTTCATATCAGGGCATCCTCAAGCTTCCTCACTATCTCTCAAATTGCTAAGCCTTTTTTTTTTTGGAGATGGAGTTTCACATGTTACCCAGACTACCTCAAACTGCAGTCTCCCAAATAGATGAGACTACAGGCACATACCACCATGCCTGACTGCCGAGCCTAACTGTAGAGCACCCCAGCTTTAAAGTCCCACTTACCTTGGCAGGGTAGCTCTCTTCTCCATAGCCATCCATTCTCTCCACCTCCTGCATGTACAGCATTTCAGCATCAGGAGCTGTGAGCCCTCTGCAACCCAAAAGACATTAGTGAGATTGTTCACAAAACCAAAATTTTTAAAAATACAGCTTCTTTCATGAAGGTTACATATCAATTTAGCATAAAACATTATAAGCATTTCAGGCTTCAAAGTATCTATAACTGGTTATATTGATCCTTCAATATTTAGCAAAAACAGACTCTGCCAAGCAATGTGCTGAATGTTAAGGATGAGCTCTAAGATCCTACCCTTATAGTTTAGGCAGGCCAGAGTAGGGGCAAGGAATGAAGTAAGACCTACAATATCTGAAGTGAATGCCAGGAGTAATCACTTAATTACCCCAAATACTAGGTATTACTGAGATTTGTGTGTTAAATGCCAAATGATATGCAGGGACTATGGGCATGAGAAGGTTAAACAGAAACCCCTTTTAGCTCAGGTGACTGCAGCACTCACTACGAGGATGTGGAGGAAGGAAGGATGTTTAAATGCATGGAGCCCATCTCTCCAGCCTCATCTTTCTCTGCTCCCCATGTACCCAAGAACCCCACATCGCAGCCCACCTCAAACTTTGCATTTCTTTGAACACACAAGGCTCCCCCACACCTTTGGCCCTTTGCAGATGTTAATCCTTCTTCCTGCTTGTCTGTCATCCACATGTGGACCTGACCAACTGAGTGTACACGGCATTCCCTCTGTCACCTTCTGGGACTGCCACAGGTCCCTCCCTACCCCATGCAATCCCAACACATTCTGCCTACACCTCTCCCATGCAATCCCAACACATTCTGCCTACACCTCTCCCCCTACACCCATTATTAGATTATTACAACCACTATTACAATGGGCCATCCTGCCCATCCCTTAGATTGCCAGGCTGGGAAGGCACTCTTGGGAGGCAGGGAATTGTACTGTTTACAGTCAATCTGCCTCATGTGCGGATTTATTGCATGTGGTTTTGATCAAGTACAGTTGGAAAATATATAATAAATTTTAAAAAAACAAAAGAATTTTCAAAACCAAAAATTTTTAATTCCTACATGTGCATTACACAGCTCAGCTGATGTGAAGAAGCTCTCAGTCAGTCCCACGTTATCATCAGTTGCTGAGTGCTTCCCACCCCTCAATTTTTTGAAAATGTGCCTCCCAGAAGGCAAATGGTACCCAAAATTCAAGGTAAGAGTGAATGTGCTTAATTTAAGTGACAAAGTGAAAATTTTAGATTTGTCGAAAGGCAGCATGCCCTTAGCAGGAGTTGGGCAGCCTTGTGGGGAAAATGAATCAAGCATCTGCAGTACAGGGCTGAACTCTGTGCATCCCGTGGATTTGAGGTCCTCCTCAATGCAGATCTCTTTGAAACCACAGACCCGCGGATCCTAAGGGTCTACATACCTATAAGCCTCAGCATCCAGCACAGCCTCACACAGAGTAAGAGTACCAATGACTTCCTAAACACTATCAGTCACAGCAGCGTACAAGTGAAAGAATCAAAGTCAAAGGAGGATGGATGGCAATGTGTGCCTGGGGAATTTGTTATGCTAGGGAAAAAATGGTTCATTTGGACAGTACAAGGTAGAGCTAGAAAGGCAGGATTTAGCAAACATGTGGAGATCAAGAAATGTCTATGAGAATTTGGGAAGGACTGGGAGGAAAGATAAGAGGAAAGTGACATTTTAGAAAGATTAATCTTTTCTGAGCAATTGTATAGGGTGGAGTAAAGATAAACCAGAAGCAAAAAGTGATTTTATTTGGAAGGGGAAAAACAATAGGTTGAAATCAGACAGATCTGCTTGAAATCTCCATGGACAGACCTACATCTTTCTGAGCTGAGTTTTCTAACATCTAAGACAGAGATAGTGATATTTATACCATGCAAAGCAATATAAATTTTTGCACGAATTCAGGGATACATAAAGTACTTGGAACTGTGTGGTATTTGGTTAAGAGCAATTACTAGCATTCTCTAGCTGGCAGCTATAGCTATTCTATAGGTAACTATAGCATTCTATAGCAACACAAAGATTCACCAACAAAGAAAGTGAACACTCAGCACGCAGAGATATGAGAGGCACAATCAGGACAACAGGCATCAGAGCTCTTATAATAGCTCCATAAGGACAGAAATACCATTTCCAAAGTATACAGGGGTGGGCTCAAGAGGCTGAGGCATGCACATCCAAGGCCTACCCGAGCTACACTGCCAGTTCCAGGCCATCCTGGACAATTTGGTAAGACCCTGTCTCTAAGAATCAAGGACTGGAAACTTTAGCTTGGTGGTAGAGAACTTGCCTTGCATACACAAGGGCCTGGGTTTAATCCAGAGCACCACAGAACAACAACAAACAAAAAGTATGGAGATGGGGTAGATAACGCCATACTTACTGAACTCTATAATAAAAGAAAAATGAAAAAAAAAAAACAGTTTGGTTACCAACAACCTTTTACTATATGGGGTGACAGACCGGCATCCTTCACTAACTGGCTCCTTTCAACTTCCTCTTTGGTAAAATGGATAATAAATGAATTAATATTGATAAGAGTGATAGCTATGTAAACGTAACAGTTGCCATGAAGTTCCCAATTTAACATATCAGTGAAAATTTCATATCCTAACAGGGATTAATTCCATATTAATTCCATGTCTTATTTCTTAGCATTACCTGTATTTTTGATGTAGTAAGGCCACTTTTTGGGTTGCTTCTTCCAATACTTTTTCGTCTTGTAACCACTCCTGAAGAAAATATACAGCAGTAAGTATATAAATTTCTTAGGAGAAATCACTGCTACTGTTATTAACTCTTGTCACTTCAGGTTAAAATGACTCGCTGGCAGCTTTGATTACATATGTAATCATCTTTCTGAGAACTAAGTGGCTTCTGCATGAGAGCTAAAAAAAAAAAAAAAAAAACTTGCCCTGACTTCTCTGCTTGTCCAGAGAGCTTTTCAGCTGAATGATTTCAGGTTGGCAACAGCAGCCAGCCAATTCTAAGCCCAGAGCAAAAATATCTAGTGCATCCGTTCTCTGGCTGACTGTGCAGATACTCAGAAGAAGAACATTCCTCCTCCCTCAGATGTTCCAAATATAGTTTTTGTGTCATTTCCACTAGTAGTAAGATTGAAAAGTAGAAGGCAAAGAGGGTCTTTAATTGCTGATAAGAAGTCAAACTCACTTCAACATCAATTCTGTGCCACTTCAATCCTTGTGTTAAAAGCAAAACTTCTGTGTGGTTCTCAAAGCTGAAAAGAAATCCCTCTCCTTAGACTCCCATTCAAATACAGAAAGAATTTCTGTAGGCACAGCACAGTAGTAGTCCTGCCTAGTAGGTCTGCTGTATGTGTTTCACTTCAGGGACTGCTGAGGGAAAGACAATAAATCATTTATGAAAAGGCCCAGTGCCAAAAGTCTTACCACAGGAAGCAAGGCAAATTTCTGAAGAAAGTCTTGGGATTCATACTGGTAGAAGTCACCAAAATCAGCTATATAAAACAACAAATATTCGCATGTTAATTATATTTTATTTGCATAGAAAAACATGCACACAAAATTCAATATGTACTATGTAGATGGTATGGTTGATTCAGAAGTCAAAATTGTCTGACAGTGTGCTCTTAGAGGCTTTAAAAAAAATATTAATTAGGTGGATTCATATGTCTTGACTTGGAAAAATACATATGAATTAAATTTTAAAAAAAAACAACCCAGGTTAAAACTATATATCACATGCTTTGACTTTTATTAAAAATCAACAAAATCTATCCTGAAATGGTATAGTTCAGCAAAGAGCTCATGAAAAATTAATTCTTAAAGCCAAAGATGATACTTAAGAAAACTCAAAGTACGTTGAAAAGGAATATACCTTCGTGTGTATCAGGCATTTGTCTGTCTAAAGTGATACATCTCCACACCTGCTAATGTCTCAAGGAATTTTATTAGTGATACTTTTGATTCAATTTCAATTCCCAAGGTTAACTGCCAGTTATCACTTGAAATAATGCACTGTTTAGAAATCTCCCAGAGGATGTGTGTATATATGTACAGATACACATATACATAAATGTAAACATATGTACTTAACATTGAAAATGAAAAAACAGATTAAAAAATGCTTGTGAAACAAAAAATCTTTTCCTTCCTTCCTTCCCTTCTTTCCTTTGACACAGGATTTCACTGTATAGTCCAATCTGGTCTCCGGTTCACTATGGAGCCAGGACTGTCCTTAAATTCATGATTCCCCTAAGTGCTAGGATTACAGGTATGCACCACCACACCCAGTGCAAAATTGTTTCTATTATGATCGACATAATTCAGGACAATTATTTAAGAAAAAAACAGGATGTACTTAAAGTGTAAGTGAATATAATTTCTTCAACCTCATTAAAGATCTTTCTTCCTATAATATTAGTTAGTAGTATTTCAAGTTTGGAGTTAGATTAACACATAGTATATGAAATACTTTTAATATATGTATTTCTTTTTATTGAACTGTTGACTGTCTTTTTTTTTTTTTAATGTGCCTTAGGCATGAAACAGTTTTGGCCACTGTCGCAGGCATCAAGCTAGGATGAACAAAGGACTGTCATTTGCTCTGCCCCTGACTGATAAAAGATCAGCACCACCAATAAGGTATCTCTTTGCCCACTGCCAGGGGGTCTGTTGACTGTCTTGACACACAGATGGTTAACCTTCCAGAGACTTCCAGAAGTCTCATAGTTCATTGACATAAGCCATATTAATGTCTTTTTACAAGGAAGCCCCTCAGGTAATAACATATTTCACTGAAGTATAAACACTACTATAGAAGCACACAGAAAGTCAGTTACTTTAAGAATTCCTTGGACTGGGTAGTGGCTCAAGCAAGAGAGTACCTGACTCATAAGTACGAGGCCCTGAGTTCAAACCCCAGTACCTCCAAAAAAAAATTCATTATTTTTGTTATAACATACACTTTAATCTGATACAATTATTAATCATTTCATATGCATTATTTACCTTGCACTGCTAAGCCTGCTAGCTGAATTGCTTGTTCTAAGGTACAAGGAATGTTTCCTTCCAAGATATCTTTCTTCAGCTGCAAGTAATACTGATATCTATAAAAAATGTCAGTTTATAGTCAATACCAATATTTTCTCCAATCAAGATACAATACACTTTACCACAATTCGGTAGAGAAGCATAAATCAGTCAAATGAAACCTTAACCCCAGATAATTTTGATGATTGAAAAGAACATCCTTGACTACACACAGACACACCATATCTCTCTCCCTCTCTCTCTCTCTAATCTATTTAGTGAGTCATTTATCTCTAACTTTAGTTATTTCAAAGCTGAAACCAGGGACCTAGAGATTTAGCTCAGTGGTAGGGTATCTGCCTAGCATGTGTGAGGCCTTAAGTTCGATCTCCAGCAACCCCAAAGAAAATCAAAGCTAAATTGTCTACAAGAAAACTGACCCATGCCTTATGACATAGCCCCTACAATTTGTTCATTAGTTGGAAAAATGGGCAATCAGTGACCTGTCTTTACTTTAAAAACTCTCACTAGTAACTTGGTAATATAAGACTTTACTTTCCCTTTTGGGAAGAAGTTTCCTAGCCCTGGAAAGTAAAACTGAAAGAAATGTTTCTTGATATTTCACATCAGGGCTTATATTAAATTTTTTAATGAAATCCTAGAAGGAATAGCTGCCAAAATGTTCTCTTTATATTCTGTAATGTGGGATTATTTCTATGTGACTCTTATACTTTTAAGACCTAAGACTCCTGTTACCAGCACAAGCTTTAGAGTCAAACAGATCACATTAAATTCTAGCTCCCCAGTGTATGATTCTGAATGAACTTGGGCAAGTCATAATTTATAGATTTAAACTTTATTGCCAGTAAAGTAAAGAAAAGCACACCATCATCCCTTCACAGGGCAGAACATATTCAAGTCATATATGTAAAGCTCTGAACACAACACCAGGAACTTAGCTGACATTCAAACAATAGCTCTTTATCAGTCATCATGTAATTGGCAATATTTCATCTGTCTCATTTCTCCCTTTTGATAAAGCTCTCGAGTAAAGCTGTATTACTTCCTTGTATTTATTCACTGCCTAGGCCATTGCCAGGCCTGTTATGTGTGAAGCATTGTTCTAGACACTGGAGATGCAGTGCTGAATCAGATCCACTGACTCCATGAGTGCAGTCTATGGTGCTATCTTCATTCAGAATCTCTCTAGGTTTAGTGTCTGTGGACACAGCCCACGTACATTTCCTACTTAAATTCCCTGGAATTCATATGCATTTTTACATCATCCTTTCTGCTAGGTTTTAAGAATCTATTGTTGGTTATCAAAGAAAGAACCTGACCAAAACACCACCCAGTCAGACAAGAAGAATTTCTATCCAACTTTTCTCCTTCTACCTCCTAACAGAAGAACCCATGGATTTCCCTCAGTCAACTTGTTCAGGGAATTGGAGAGTCCAGTTTGACTTCAGGGTAATGTTATTGATAGAGCTAAAAATATAAAGTAGTGTGGATCTCTAAGAATCTAGGCAAGCTCAAAAAAAATTTTTTTTAGGTGTTTGGTATTAATCCCTGGACCTTGTGTATGCTAGACAAGTGTTCTACCACTGGGCTGCCCTCCCCCCACCAAGAATTCAAATTTTATTCCATTAAAATTTATTATTAATTTATTCAAAATTATCTTCAGGAAAAAAAAATTAATATTTTGTCTACCGGGCTTCTTAATATCATCTTTCAGCTTTTATCCTATTAAGTGTACTTACCAACTAATACTTTCTGATCATCAACAGTTTGCCTATTGCTCTCTGTGTCCCAGCTATACCCAAATCTTTTCTCTCTCCTACAGAATACAGTTTCTGGAGTCAGAGAGCTATAAGAACCTTTTGGCACATTTCCTTAAGGAATAAACACAGATTTTTGTGACTACATTTTTAAAACCTCCTCTCTCATTTCCTTGTTACAAAGGATCAGAAACAAAACAACAAATATTAAAGGAGACATCACAGGAAGAAGAGGTTACAGTCATGGTAAACACATGATTTTTCCTTTAATCATTCCTAGTGAACACATGACTCATTCAACATGCAGTAAGACATTCTAAAGTGTCATACACCAACCCCTTGTAACACGGTGGCTAAAAGTGCAGTGGGGGGGGCAACATTTCAGACTTATCCTCTGTCTTCCACCTCAGATGCACTTTTCCGGCCTCATTACAATATTTTCTTAAAATGGCCACGTGTGGTTTCTCACCTGGTAATCTCCTGCTGCAGCTGAGAAACGGAAGGCACATAGAACACCACCCCGAAGTAGACAGTGGGCTCCAGTGCATGTTTGTCCAGCTGCTTCTTCAAAGGTTTTTCCAAATCAACCCACCGGCGCTGGTTCTGTTTGTTGTAATACCAGAGGCTGAAGTAAGTGACCTAGAGAAACGGAAGGTCACTGAAGGAGGCAGCAGTGCATGATACGGGTTCAGTGATTTTAATTGCTCAGTATACTTGTTTTACTTGTATGTTTGTTTTCTGCTCCATTTTAGGAAACAAATTTTGGACTGAACATATGGACTATAATGCATACCACTGCAACACACATAATTCCATATTTATTTTTTGCCATAAATACAGAGGGCTTGAAATTAAGCACAGGATAGGCACCCTGTAAGATCTGAAACTATTTGGATCATAAAAAACATGTTGCCACTTCTAACCAAAATTAAAAGGTCGTAAACATACTCTTTCCATATGTTAACTACAGCTGGACATGGCTGTTCCAAATAAAAAATTTAAATAGAAATACAAACGTATAACAATAAAGAAATGGGCAACTGAACTAAATAGAAGTTTTTCAAAGGAAGAAATCCAAATGGCTAAAAAACACATGAAAAAAAATGCTCACCATCCCTGGCCATAAAGGAAATGCAAATCAAAGACCACACTAAGGTTCCACCTCACTCCTTTTAGAATAGCTACCATCAAAAGCACCACCATCAACAAATGTTCACAAAGATAAGGGGAAAAGGAACCTTCATACACTGCTTGTAGGAATGTACGCTAGTACAACCACTATGGAAAACAGTATGGAGGCTTCTTAAAAAACTAAAAACAGGTCTGCCATATGACCCAGCAATACCACTCCTAGGGATAAACCCAAAGGAATGTGAGTCAGATTACTACAAAGGCATCTGCACACCCATGTTTATTGCAGCACTATTCACAATAGCCAAGTTATGGAAACAGCCAAGATGCCCCACTACCAACGAATGGATTAAGAAAATGTGGTATCTATACACAATGGAATTTTACTCAGCCACAAAAAAGAATGAAATTTTGTCATTCACAGGTAAATTGATGGAACTGGAGAACATCATTTTAAATGAAGTTAGTCAGGCTCAGAAGACCAAAAATCTCATGTTCTCTCATATGCAGATTACAGACCTAAAACAAATGCGGTAATATTGTTGGACATGGGTCACACGCTAAGGGGAGAACGTGTACAGGAGGCATAGGGAAAGGGGAGGAAACCTAAAACTTGAATGTGGTTGATGTGCTTACTGTAGAGGAGTGAATATAGCAATCTTAAACTGGCAGAGGTCACTAAGGGAAGGGGACCAGGAAGTAATGAAGAGGTCTGGTATAGATGAACCACTTTCGGTTGTAATATACATATGCATGGAACCAACACAAAGAATCTCCCTGTATAGCTATTCTTATCTCAAACTAGCAAAAACACTATGTTTTTCTTACTATGCTTTATGTTTTTTCTTCAATAAAACTGGAGAACAAGAGGGCAGAACAGATTCTGCCTGAAGCCAGTGGGGGAGGGAGAACAGGTGGCCCAAATAATGTATACACATGTAACTAAATGTAAAAACGGTAACATAAATTTTTTTTTAAAATTACAAAAGTATAGCTGAGAGTGGTGACTCATGCCCGCAATCCCAGATATTTCAGGTGGTAGACGTCATGATTTGAGGCCAACCTGGACAAAAAGTTATCAAGACCCTATTTCAACCAATAAGCCACATGTGGTGGTCCACTTCTGCAATCCCAAGTATGAAGGAGGTATAGGTAGGAGGATCAAGGTCTGAGGCCAGCCCTGGACAAAAACAAAAAATAGCTAAAGCAAAAAAGGCTAAAGGTGTGGCTCAAGTTGTAGAGTCTGTTTAGCAAGCACAAGGTCCTGAGTTCAAACTCCAGTACCATCAAAAAAAAAAAGAATTATAAAACCGCAGATATATTGTGTAATTTGTGTGTTTATCATTCGCGAACCAACTATGATAATATAATTACAAAAAAATGCTAGCATTCTAAACAAAGGCACATTCTAAAAGAAAAACTCTAAAAATGTACGAAGCTTATTTTAGCAGTGTATCTATTAGTCATGCTACATATGGATACAAACTCAAATACACATGGACACATAGATTTGTAAAGTATTATAGTTAGTTTTTCAAAAGTCTTGGATTTTAGAAAAAAGTCTTGGACTTTAGAAAGAAGTGACTTTAATTAAAAAGAATGGAAGATTTAGCAAATTATTTTATTAGTTATTTTAAATACAGGGAAGTATCAGATTTCAGACATTTGAACACTGGTCCATTCTGTTGCAAAGTATTTGGTACAGTACTTGCCCTTGAGTTCAAGGTCTATCTTAAGAACTAGTTAAAGTTATCCCAAATCAAACTTATGCATTGCTAAACAGTTCCAAACAGGCATTATATTTCTACCACTGCTACGAGAAGTGTCATGACACATGTAACTAAAATCATATAGTGTCTTTGGATTGAAGCTTTCCTAGGTTTTTACACATATGTAATTGAGTAGTAACATCTGATTCCACAAAATGTTATCCTATAGCATGATCTGGGTCCAAAGAGGGTAGGTGGAGAGTGAACTCCAAATACGGAGATTAAATTCTCATGGGGCAAAGAGTTCTGACATATCCTTTCTTTGGTTTGTCTTGGATGACAACCTTGAGGTTATGGTTAATTAGTTTTCCAAATTATTCAAAATCTCATCAAAAAAACAACAAAGGAGGAGGGAGGAGTCAAAAGAGAACAGAGAACACTTCCTAACTCACCCTACAGGCCAGCATTACCGTGATACCAAAGCCAAAAGATACCACTAAAAGAAAACTATAAGTGGACAGATACAAAAATCCTCAAAAACACTGGCAAACTATACCCAAAGGCACATTTATAGGATTCTGTGTTGTACTAGGAACGCAAGGTGGTTCAACATATAAAACCAATGTAATACTGCATATACAGTATTACTAACAATGGAATAAAACAACCTTATCTCAACACAGAAAAGGCACAAAATCAAACACCATTTCATGATTAAAAACATCTAGAAAGTTAGGAATCAAAGTGAACTTCTTAACATAATAAAAGGCATTTATGAAAAACACACAGCTAATATCACACTCAGTGGTGAAAGACTAGAAGCTTTCTCTTACAATCAGAAATAGGACAAGGATGCCCTCTTCACCACTGTCATTCAACACTGCACTGGAAATTCTAGCCAGAGCAATTAGGCAAGAAAAATTTTTAAAAGTTGGCTGGGGCTGTAGCTCAGTGGCTTATTGTTTACCTAGCATGCATGAGGCCCTGGGTTCAGTCCCCAGTACCATAAAGGAAGGAAAGAAAATACATATAGAAAACCCCCAAATCTCCAGTATAGAAAATCCCCTAAACACACACACACACACACACACACACACACACACACACACACACAATACTAAAGGTAATAAACTCAACAGTTTCAGAGTACAAGATCAACATTCAAAAATCAGCAGTAATTCCACAGAATAGACTAATCATATTTATAACATTCAAAACAATAAAATATCTAAGAATAGACTTAAGCAAGGAGGTAAAAGACTTAAACAATACTATAAAACATGGCTGAATGAAGCCAGGCAGCAGTGGCTCACACCTATAATCCTAGCTACTCAGGAGATAGAGATCAGGAGGATCTTAGTTTGAAGCCAGCCCAGGCAAATAGTTAGGATGCCCTATCTCAAAAAAATCCATCACAAAAAAAAGGAAGGGGGGCTGGTGGAGTGGCTCAAATGTATAGGCCCTGAGTTCAAACCCCAGTACTGCAAAAAAAAAAAAAAAATGGCTGAATGAAACTAAGGAGGACTTTAAAACACAGACTTATCAGGTTCATGAATTAGAACAGTTAATACTGTTAAGACAGTGGTACTACCCAAAGTGATGTACAAACACAATTGCAATTCCTATCACAATTCCAACAGCCTTTTTTGAAGAAATGGAAAAGCCAAGCTGGGGGTGCAGTCAGTTGTGAGCAACTTGTCTAGCAAGGGAAGGAGGGAGGATGGAAAAGCCAATCCTCAAAGTCACAGGGAATAGCAAGGGGTTCCAAGCAGACAAAACACTATTGAAAAGGAAGAACAAAGTTACAGTACTCAAAAGTGTGGTATGAACTGATATACAATCAATGGGGACAGAACTGAGAGTCCAGACATGAACCCATGCAGTCAACTGATCTGTGACAATGGTAACAAGATCACTCAGTGGAGAAAGAAAAGTCTCTTCCACAAATGGTGTTGGAATAGCTAGAGCCATGTGCAGAAGAATGAAGCTGAACCCCTCACATACAATGATTAATTCAAAATGGACCAATATCAATATTGCTGTAAGAATTGAACTATAATATTCTTTAGAATAAAAGATAGGGATAAATCTTCATGACCTTGAATTTGGAAATGGATGCTCAACTATGACACTGAAAGAAAAAGTAAGTAAATTTACTTCATCAAAATTACACCTGTATTCCTAGCTACTTGGGAGGCAGAGATTGGGAGGATCACAGATCAAAGCCAGCCAGGGAAAATAGTTTGTGAGCCCCTATCTCAAAAACAACCTTCACAAGAAAGGGCTAGTGGAGTGACTCAAGGTTTAGGACCTGAGTTCAAACCCCAATACTGCAAAACAAAGAAAAAGAAAGGAAGAAAATAGATGATGGTGAGGACGTGAAGAAATGGAAACTTCACACATTGCTAATGGGAATGGAAAATGGTTTATTGCTGTAGAAAAGTCTGGTACATCCTTAATAGGTTAAATGGGGGCCAGGAGCAGTGGCTTGTGCTTATAATCTCAGCTCTTTGGGAGGCAGAAATCAGAATGATAGCACTTAGAGGCCAGCCCCAGCAAAAAGTTTGTGAGACCCCGTCTCAACAAATAAGCCAGGCATAATGGTGATCCCAGGTATGTGGTAGAGTGTAAATAGGAGGATCACGAACCAAGCCAGGCCTGGGCAAAAACTTTTTGCCAGGCTCTCCCTGAAAAATAACTAAAACAAAAAATGGCTAGAGGTGTAGCTCAATCAGTAAAGTACCTGCCTAGCAAGTGCAAAGTCCTGAGTTCAAACCCCAGTACCACACAAAAATGTTA